ATATATATATATAAAAAACCAGAGCAGAATCCTCAGAGTGAAAAGATCAACTCCGGGTCAAACCCAAATGCAAGTCACTGCTTTTGTTTGCCTCACATCTCACCACATGACACACATGCATTTCTCATTGTGGGTGGTATTGCCTGTCAACTTACACTGACATTAAAAGGGAAATCAGATCTTTAGGCTAAATGTGTTACCATTCATTTTGGAAAGCAAGCAATAGGCAGAGCTTGATTTACTCTGCTTAACCTAGAGTAAAACCTATTATCAAGAACAGAAGTGCTCGCTGAGACAAGTTTATATGGAAGAAAGAAGCAGCTGGATTTTAGCAGCAGATTTGTCACTATGTGCCCAGGTCAGCTCCCGTTACAGTCTAAAGATTGGGACAGACATTTGTGTGGGCCCGCGGTGGCCAGCTGCAGCAGGGGATGGGCTCAGTAGCACAGGATGCTATATGGAGGAGTCTGGCCACCCTGGCAGGTACCTGATGGTCAGAGGTCAGGAGTCGGCGGCGGTCCTGAGCAAAGCCACACAGCTTTGCCAGGGAAAGGAAAGCCTTCTCTCTGTGTCCGTCAGCTTAGTTTGTGATTTTAAGAGGTAAAAAAGCTGTGGGAGAACTCCTTCAGACAAATCTGTAACTAGGAAGATTTAACAGGAAAGGAGAGGTACAAAAGGCAACTGAATGAGAAAGAAATCATATGTGGAAAGTCAAAGTCTGCCCATCAGAACACGGGTCAGGAGCATTTGGCAAATAAAAGGAAGACAAACATATAACTTTACCCAACATAAAAAGAAGAAAACCCAGCAATCCAGCAGACCTCTCCCTGGAGCATGGGAGCAGAGCAAAAAGGGTGGAAACAGGGCCCATGCAGGGTGGAAGTGACTCCCCAGGTCCCTGCAGGAGGTGCAGCTGCTCCCCCACCAAGGTGCGACTCACCTACGGGCAGCGTCCTGCAGCCCCGGGCAGCAGCTTCTGCAGCGGGGCGAGTCCTTACGGGCAAGCCAGACCTTGGCCACATGGGGGAAGGCCTGGGACCCCACAGGCCGTGCCTTTCACTGGGACAAAATGGTGGATTGGCAGGTCATGGGCATCTTGCCTCCATAGAGGCAGCTGTTCCTCTGGGTGGCAGCAGTAGGACCCCAGGCACAGTGCTCTGCCCGCACTGCCTGTGAGACGCCTGGCCCTGAGGCCTCAAAGTCTCTCAGTGTAACGCCATCCCTCACCTCCGAAAGGGCAGCTTTCACCCAGCCAGGGAGGGAGAGGAGTGTCCCCTTGAGGGCACCCAGCAGTGTCCGTGTCCACCTGCCCTTTGGCAACAAGCACTTTCCAGATATACCTTTGGCGTCCGTCACAATACCCCAAGCCAGACAAAGCAAAGCGTGTGGTTCAGATCTGTGGGCTCCCACCAGCCCCGCAGGATGGGCCCAGCCAAAAGGTGGGCCATCACTGCACAGGCCCTCCCGTATTTCCCAAGCTCAGCGGTCTCTGGGGGGATGCTCTTGAACATGGCGCCGCCCCCCCCAAGCCCTCTGCCGCTCCCCTCACAGACAACATCGCAGCTCCTGCCCTGCACTTTGCCTTCACCTTTCCCCACCACATGACACCTTCCTGACCTCACTGATAAATGCCCGAGCCCCCACTCCACTGCCACCTCCCCGTCGGCAGCCCCCAACCACAACCTAGTGCTTCCAGGACAGAAATCTTTCAGGGCCCTTTTACTGTTTTGTGCATGGAGAAGAGAGGCTTGTGGTGTGGCAGATCCCTTGGTGCCTTCTTTTCTGTGTTTTTTTTTTAGGTTTGGTTTATCTTTGGAGGCCAAATAGGCCTCGGCAAGAAAGCAGTCTCACACCATCCCACGCAGAGGACAGCTGAGCAATCAGAAAAGCTGGTCATCAAAGAGAAAGGGCTTCTCAAACTTCACTCTCGGCAAAGCTGCCATTTTACCACAAACATTTACACCATATTTTGACATGAAAGGAGTCTATCAAGTGTTGATAGATTTAAGTAACAGATTCCGCCATCTGGCCCCTTCTTCACGCTCTTGTGTTGGCACGACGTGCACAAGCAGCATGCAGCCACGGCTTTTCCCCTACAGCCATCCACCAGCTGCCACGTGGCATCATGGCGCGACAGACGTGCCATGGTGGCACAGCCAGAGACACAATCGTTAGCAAGCTTTACGAGTGCAAGGTCTTCCCACAAGGCACAGCAAGACACCTGCCCTACCGTGAAACTTCCAGCATTCATGGCATCTTCAGGAGATCCACCTCCTCTGGAAGTGGTCCTGCCCCATCGTACAGCTCTATGATGAGAGAATCTCCTGCACTGGGACTCTGGGCAGGCAGCGGGTCTCGGAGGAAAGGCAGGATGCAAGTTTGAGTACAAGGCTTAGAGGAAAGTTAGGATTGCTCCAACAACTCAGTGAAACTCTACCAATTCCCCGCTGAAGTTTGTGAAATTTGCTGTCTGGCTGAAGATGATTCTCACTCACACTCTGGTAAAATGATGTTAACTAATATGAGCTGAATATAAATACCATTTATTACATTTTCTAGTATACACTTCCAAAGCATGCATTACCAAATGTATTTTTAATTTGATATAAACATTAAATACTTTGCTTTGGCATTTAATACATCCTTATGGGATGTTATCATATACTATGTATCTCTATCATCATGCACAGATGACAAAGAAATATACACCAGAAAATATTTTTCTTCCAGAGAAAGAAAAGAAAAAGCCCTACAATAAAAAGCTTCCCAGTTTTAAATTTGAAGTAAAAACAGAAGTAATGAAAACCAACAACTCCTGAATTGTGAAGTCAGTAGGGTAAAAATGCACATTATTAATGATGACATGACCCACAGGAACAAATACATGTAGGTCCAATCTTGCAAAGTCAAGCTAGTACATGCCTTTATTCCCTACGCTCCAGGATCTGACTTCCTTACATACTTATTTAAAAATAACGCTGCTATCCATGTCCTTAAATATGAACAGCTACACTGCCAAACAGCTCAGCAACCCGTACTCCTGGGTTTTCAGAAGTTAAATAGATGGCAGCTAGTGCAAAGAGTTGAAGGCTGGTTTCCTAGTTCAGTCCTTATTTTTAACTATGTCCTCATATGTTTAACATGCAAAAAAAAAAAAAGCACTTAAAAATTACCCCAAACTCTGTTTCTCAGGGAAGTACCTACCTTCAAAATTCAAAAGACTGAAACAAATCACAGCTGGGGTTTATGAAGGTGCCCTCTTCTGGCCTTTAAAAAAAACCCTTCTCTTGCTGTCACCTGGTTTCTTTGCTTCGAAGAAGTACCAAAATGAGCATCTGATTGTGCAAATCTTCCATTTATTTAATAAATTGGCCAGAAAAATACCACCACAGAATGTTCTTGATACCATACAAAAAGTTTAAAAATCCTTCAGTTACATGAGCTTAGAAAAATAAGTTACAATACTATTCTAGAAATCCCAGTAGAAATACATGAATTTGTTACCAGGTAGAAATTTAGGCATAAGGGGTTTTGCCCAGAGGGCTGGAGAATTTACCCCCTGTTCACACCACACTACTAAACTCCTAAGAACCATTTAATAAAAGTAATCCGAACCTTTCTGCTAAAACAGAGGGAAATGAAAAAGCAGATCAAAACCCGCATTCATTTCCACTACAATGAGACATTTTTACCATTTCTTGATAAATATCTATGTAGTTTATCCAAAACCAGAGGAATATTCAAGAATTTGTTACTTTTTTATGGAAACCTCTGTTTTAAAATTATTGTTTTTTTAATTAAATATAAACCAAAGCACACATGGAAGTAAATACAGCTTTTAGGCCATATCTACATGGATTTTTCACTGTTGGTTTTTGGAGGTTGGGGAGGTGTTGTTTGCTTGTCTGTTTTGGGGGAGGTGTTGGTTGGTTGGTTTTTTTTTTGATTCTACAGGTTCACTAATCTGAAGGAAAATCGCAATAATGCTGTGTTCAAATTGGCCAATTTAGACCTGAAATGGTGCAGCGTACGATAGCTCACCTGAAAAGGGAGAATTTATTCAAATTGAATAAAGTTGCACAGAGCTCTTGCAAGTATAATTCATTCCAAAGTGAAATTCTGTCTGTGCCAACTTTGATTAATTATCATCACATAAGCTGCAAGATAAAGCTAAGATCACATCTGTGTTATATGCACAGTTGTTACTCTCAGGGGAAAAAAAACACAAACCCTTTCTGTATAACAAGGCCTTAATAAAAAGTATTTTTCTTGTCTCACCAAGGAGAAATTTTTCACAAATAAGTTTCTCTAAAATAAAAAGTCACAATGGAGTCAGTTTGGAAGCCAAGAAATATGGTACTAAACTTTTTTCCAAGGCTATCTTCTTCCTCATGATCAAGCATGTAGATACAGTTTTCCTTCCACAGACATGTGAGCTGGCAAAATGCATGTTCACGAGGAGACCTTGCAATTGCTGTGTTATAACCTAGAACACAGAGGGACTATACAGTTATCTGAACTTCTGGTAATATTCTTCAGTTCGGAAGTTCTCTGTTCAGGTAAGAAACTAGAGAGGAACAAAACCAAACTAAAACAGTTGTTGTCCAGCTGTGCTAGCAGTTCTTCCATCACTGCCCACCAGACAATGCAGGCTTTAGGCTATGACTTCATGAAAGCATTTGTTCAATGCCCTGCTAAACAACAGCTCCATAGTCAATATTCCCATTGCGTTGCTAATTGCCAGCCAATCACCGCAAGTGACCGACTCCAACAGTGCTTGTCTCCTAAGGATGAGGGAACACTCTGGCTAAGATGTACACCTTTCTGCAGACATCCGAGGATGACTTCTCTCAAAACCTTTCTTCTGAATTGCACAAGTCAGGCACTGCGATGAAAGCCAGTCTCTGGCAATAACAAGAATGGGGGTCTTTAACCTCAGCATCCAGCCTGAAGGGTATTTTCACCAGAACGCTTAGTCACGGACAGAGTGGTGAATACCTTAAGAGAAAGAAGAAGAAAAAAAAACAAAAACCAACATGATTTAGTATGGCCAGAATGAATTTTCTCTTCTAGAAGATCAACTTGGGCATAATGCTCAAAACTGCTGCCATTTCTTAAAGTAATAAAATAATATCGAAAAACATACATTTGAAATCCTTTCCACTAAATAGCATCCAGGCATACAAATACCCTTTGTTCTCTTCATTTACCTTATGGTCTTCCTTTTACAGTGGAAAAGAAAGAATTAAGGCAATCACACGGATTTCTACCACCTTTTATCTTAACACTCCTAAGTTTTTACAGTGGGAACGAGCTCAGCAATAATAAACTGTGGTCTGTACACCTAATGAATAAGTGTCTCTATGGTTCAAAGATAACTTTGTTAGGAAAGTGAAGTTAACGCAAGGCTACGGCATTGAAGAGAACATAAATTTTGCCTCTGTACCTTTCTAGATATAATAGAAATGTGGAACTGATTGCTGATGCAGGTATTACGTCTGGGAGTTGTATGCTCTGGACAATAGCTAAGAAACAATTAGTACATCTAGTTTGAAAAAGTCCAATCTTTACTGCTTTCAAGTCACATTAAAGAAAACAACATTTTCAAGAATAATTATTATAAAATTAAAAGGTATCAAAATTCAAGAAGAAAAATTCTACAAACCCTTGTTTAATATCAGAACTTTACTATGCAAATAATTGCATAGTTTTGCATAGATACAATATAGAAAGGAAAAAAAGGAAATCAAACCCACTTCTATCTAAATGGTTCAAAGTTGCAATAATTAGCTATCATCAAAGCCATCTCTCAGGAAGAATAAACTTAGCACAGAATAAAGTATATACACATTTCGGTTATGCAAATAGCACTGAAGTATCTAAAGATAATGGGGATCTGAAAGCCCTACAGTTCTCTAAGCAGAAGCTTTGCTGCATTAAGGCTGCTAGCAGCTCTTCAGAGAGCCACATCAATAAATGATATATCTCTCCACTTTCTATAAGCATGTAAAGCATTACGCACAAAACAGGAAGACAAATGCATGTCTAATATAGATGGCAGAAGAACAGCAATATATTTAAACTATCATGCCTGGCTTGAGACAGAGTTTCTAACTCTTTGGTTCTGATCCACAGACTGATAACATATGGGAATCTTCATTTATTATTATTTCACTTTGAAAGACAAAGATTAAAAAGCCCAAAATTTATCTGCTTTCTTCCTAGCCTGACTGGGTGTGCTAGCCAGTTCCAGAGGCTGCAGGGACCACACAACTCCCTAACTTCAGTAATTGGATAATTATTGGAAACATGAGGGGGATTCAAGTGAAGACAAAACCTTAGATCCAATGGCTGGAAAGCCATCATTAGCTAACTTGAAGAATCACCCCAGCTTTAAGACGACACTTTCTCTTAACCACAGATGCTTGATTATACACGCCTGTATTTCAAGAAGTGCAGCACAGTCCAGGCTGAGAGGTAATTCTCTGTAAGGCTGAGGTCCTATCAACTCTGTGCTCGTCGTTATTTGTACCTCGCAAGAAGTTCCATTCAGAATTCATGTTTTCTGCCAAATAAAATGCTGCTTGAATAAGAGAAGTGAAATCTGTCTCTAATTTGAAAGCAGTGAGAAATGGGGCCCTCAGTCTCACAGGAGTGTCTTTGAGCAATGATTTAGTACTAACATCAGGGAAGATGTCAGCATTTGACCCTGTAACACTGTCCCTTTCCTGCTCAGATCAGACTTCATTTTCCTTAGTTTTTACATGGATGTAAGATAAAAATAACACCGATATTATCCATCATTCTATTCATGCAGATATGCACAGTCCTCACAAATTCTGAATATTTTTTAAGCATTTTTTTAATCAGAGAGTACCATCTTGTGCTTTGATTTTTGTTTACTGCTTAAGAGATTAAATTAAGTAACAGGCATAAAAAATCTTTTGAAGACTGGCACTAAAAATGATCGCTGTTCCCTGGAGCTTTTAAATAGTGTATTTCTCCTGAGCCAACTTCTTCCTCCCCCACTCAAACAAATACAATTATCTGAAATTACCTCCCTAAATTATGTCTAACCATGATTCTATTCAGTTTCAATTTTAGCAGCTCAGATGTCCAGAATAAATTATGACTATCATCCTCTCTTCACACTGCATATGCTAATATCCCACTAGAGTTCACAGGTTTGAATGCCTCATGCAGAGTTCCCCCTCCACAGGGCCCCTGGTAAGATAAGGACCAGCAACCCCTCTTCAAGGGCTTTCAAGAACGCCATTAGATGATACTACAGAAAAAAATCCAACAGAATGTCTATTGTGGATGCTTTGAAGATGATTCATATTGCTAGCAGTTCATTCCATTAATAGGGCTCTTCTTATATTGCTTATACTGTATCACTTTGGAAACACAAAAGAAGAGAAGGGGACTTTACTCCTGCAGACCACCATCCTGGTGCTCTCTACTAAACTTTGTAGCTAACACATGCAGGTAAAAACACAGATTCTGTACAAAGACCTACAAAGGTGATACACAGCTTTTGCAGGGATCCTCAGCTCATATAACTGGTCGTAATACTAATGAAATAAGGGGAGCATCTCTGATTTATACCGGTGAGGAGCTATCCCCCATCCACTAATTAAGCTCTTCATTAAAGAGGAGCAACAAGACAAACACAGGAAAAAAAGATGGTTGTGTGGCCTCGTGCACTTCACTTCAAAAGTAAAGTACTAGAGAGTAAAGGAGAGATCTTTAAAAGGGTAGAATTTAACAGAGGTAATTGTCACATAGCTGGTCCCCTTCTATAGCACCAGTTGATAAGCCTATTTTGAGTACACACATCTAAAAAAAATTAGCTTTGACAACCATTTTAGCAGAAACAGTATTTGAAGCCTTCATAAACAGATCTCTGAGTGGGAGTAAAATTCTGTACTTCCCAGTAGAGGGAGCACTGGATTAGGGGAGACCATAAACACTTCACAAATGAACATACTAAAAAAAATAAATAAATCCCAGATTAAAACCAGATAATTTCCTTCCCTCCCCTCTACTTCCCCCCAAATTTGGATCTCTTTAATAGAGCTCTCCTATTCAGATTCCCAACACCTTAGCCCAGAATGCTACGAAAGCTGGGCTATGAGGTGACTTCATATACAAACCTCTGCACAGACGGGATGAATTCCTATGGTGCTGTCCAGCTGTTCTTTTGTCATCCCACATTTAATAGCAGCTGCAAACCCTTGGGTGACTTCTCCAGCATTTGGACCAAGGACATGGAAACCAATGACTCTCTCCTAAATACCAAAGATAATCAAATACAAGCACAGTCATACATTCAGTTCTCTTTAGACAACGTGTAAGGTTTTCTTACTCAGAGTATATAGTTTCATCAGTTCACAAAACATACTGCAAATTAATGTAACCACACAAATGTGAACTATCATTAGCACCAACAGAAGGGAGATAGCGGGTATAAATTTTGTTCTCCCTCTGAAAAGATTCAGCTAGGAACTCAAGAATCAGCCTTATTACAAAGTTTTGTGCACGAGTCCTCTGTTTACATCAACAGCACACAAAGTTAACACACACCAGGATCTATGTTTGATTATACCGTACGTCCAAATTGCAAACATGCATTTAAATTTTATTCAGGCAACCTATTCCACTCCTTTCAACAGACTGCTTGCCTAAGTCAAGATGAGCACCTTCCACAAAGGTTTGCAACACCAGGGCCTGTTCTGGGTGGGTACACGGTGTGTTTCTATGGAAGAACTTTCGTTTGATGGCTGCTTGCAGGAAAGGGCCACAAGCTAAAGGTTTGGCTAACACACGTGGCAAGAGGTGCATTGTAACTAAACTGACGATGACTCTTGTTCCAGCATTCACTGTCATTGGGAGATAATATAACTACCAACTAGCAAAAACACACTGAAAGACACCCAGTTACAAGGAAGATACTATTACTTCACACTTCTCACATCTGTACTACTGTTCAACCGAGCATATATCCTCAGCAAACACTCAACAGAACAAGCTGTACTGACTTGACTTGCTTTTCTTAAAGGAAAGCTTGCTTCTCTATGAAAAGCAAGTCTCCTTCAGCAAATGCCAACTGCTGTGGGCTTCAGTGGCTTTCAGGGCATTAATCAGGTTTTGCTGAGCATAGATGTAGCCTAGATGGGTGTCAAAAGTTATCTGCTCCTGCCGCTAAACATCACATATAAGGGAGTGTGGATACTCAGTACACTGAGATGTTATTTTTCTTTCAGTAAGCCTGAGGACTGAGACTTACCGCAGGGTTTATTCAAATAAGAAAAGCTATAATTAGGTAATAGCTGAAATGGAATTATCCTTATTTTCCTTTAAAAATATGTACATATGTAAAAATAAAACCATAGTAATAAAACTGGGGTAAACTACAGTTTTAAATAGTTACTGAACAAAGTTTTCATCTAGGCTAACTTTCAACTCTACCTCTAAATATTTAAACACGTTCCCAATTTTCAGGACAAGAAATGGAAACAAATTAATGAAATACTTTAAATCACCATTCAACCTTTTCATTTTCTTACGTAACTTTGTATTAGGAACATAACCATGGGTTCTGAAACAGCTTCCACCCTACTGCAAACTCCTCCAGAAACAGGAGATGGGCAAAACCAGACAGGTTTGCAAATTTTACAAAATGGTGATACAATGCTTAGAGAGACTACAGTAAGACAAATCTGTATTAATTAAGATGAATCCTATTATTGAAATCACCTAAGTTTTTATTAAACAGATGATGATCATTCAGAGGCGGGCATATCAATTCTTCTGACCCGTTAGTAATATGTCTTGTGCTTCAGCAGGTACTGTACATTTTCATAGCCAGGAAGTTTTACCCTACTCCAAGGATAATCCTGGCATTATCACCCTAAATGAGATCTGTGCAGGCAAGATACATTAATCCAGTTAGAATGATCTCAAGAGTTTTATAGACACATGTGGATTTGCAGAGTTGTGATGGTTCCTGAGTGATCTCAGATTCAGAGAGAACAATCTCCCAGAAAAGAATGTCCCAGTTTGGGGAGGGGAGAATAAGATAAACAGGTAAGACTTCTAACCATTTTTATGTGCATTGATTCACTCACTTTTCAAATTTAATGAAATGTCTTAGAGCTCTCTACTTCTTATTTTACATATATGAAAAAGGTACCATATAGCAAAGGCAACGGAGGAATTTTCTATTGTACTTAAGGGCCATTTTTGTATAAACAAAAGTATTATATCACTACAGAAATTTATTAAATTTTAAAAGGTAAAAAAAAATTTCAATTTATTTTTTATTTGTTAAAAATAACCTATTTATAGCTGTGGTATCAACTGTACCTACAATGAACACATAGCTGCTGTTTTCCCTGGAAGGAAAGATGCACTTACATTATCCTGAATATTGCAAATTATCTTCGCATAGCATTTGTTGTTGTCTCTGGATGGCACAGTCCATTCCAATGGCCAGAAATGACTATGGTACACCTGGAAATACAACACAGGTTAAAAAAAAAAAAAAAAGTTGTGTATTTTCACAGCACAGAGCATGACCTTCCAAAAACTACCAGATTATCTTAAATTTGCCTCGTCTGCCTCCAAAGGTGGAGCTTTACTACTGATTGCAATTGCTTTTGGAAATCACACATGTAAAAACTTTCAACAATAGTGACGCAGCACAAGGGTGAACTGTTAACTAATAACTCTTCATTAGCAATCAGCCATGCACATAGAATTTGGAACACTTGAAATTCAGGTGGGGCTCCTCCTCCTTGACAAAACAAGCACTAGTGTCATCCAATAATTTAAAAAAAAAGAAAAAAAAAAGAAGCCATAAGTCTATTAGACTTCCAGGATGCAGTTCACCATGCTCTCATTAAGCTAGATCAATACCAGCTTGTCTCACGAAAGGCTATATTGTCTCTGGGTCTACCCAGGATGAAGGCAAAAATATTTCTCAGAGCAGAAAAGGGAAGAATTGGCCTCAGAGTCTGGGTTTAGGAGATATGAGGGCATGGGTTTTTTGCATGCTCTCTTAGATTATGTATCACTGCAAAATGGAAAGTACATTAAAAAACCCAACACATTTTACTGTCTGCCCCAGCCAACATCACTGGACAGATTCTTAACTGCAGGTAAGGCTGCTCATCCACCTGTACTAGCATGTATTTCAGAAAATGACGGGGTGTTTTGAGGCACAGTTCTACCCAGAACTCTCAACAGCTCCCACTATAAGCTAACCTCAGATTGATTATTGCTTGAAAGAAGTTTTTAATTGATCACAACTCCAGTAAAAATATGTCCCTTCACAAACTAGGAGAGATGGCTCAATGCTTCCAATATTAATGGGGTTACAAAGCATTTATAAGCATCACTATCTGAAACTGAAATTTAAAAGGTCTGAACGACAGATGCAACTCAATCCTACTGAAGCTTGCAAAAGCAAAAGCCAATATGGTGACATGATAAAAGACGTCAGAATAAACTAAATTAGGGCTTAGTCAGAACACAAATGCTTCTAGATGCACATTTTCAAAAATGGTTTTGAAAATAAAAAGTGCATTTTCCACAAAGAAGGGTCCAGTGTTTCACATGTAGTGGCAAGAATTTGACCCAATAACAAAAAATTAGCTGCATATATGCAAACTTCATGGGGAGAACAGAATTTAAACCCCTGCCCTGTAGTCAGGTTAACAGTACTTGACGCACTGCCATTTTAAGTCATATTTAACTTCTTTTCTCCACAGTCCAAGTCAAAAAATATAACTGACAAAGCTAAGAGGGGGAGGCAAGTTCTCAACTTTATGAGCCACCACTTATCTGCTTATTTCCCCAAACAATGCTTCTCAGGTGATCTTCATGGGACATAAAAGTGCAGTTTATTGTCAGACCTCCTCTCATGATTTCTGTATGTGGTCTGTACAGCATTTTGGAAGAACAGCCTCAGGCACTAACTACTTGCATATATCTAATTTCACTCTTGACCAGCAATCCCAGTGAAAGAAAAGAGAACACTCATGTGAGTAAAATTAAGCACATATCTCCTTGCATAGTCAAAATAAATAGGAAAAATGTGCATAATAACATTTGGCTTTATAAAGCAAAAATCACCAAGGCAAGGAATTTGCCACACTGTAGCTACAAAAAGCTCCAATTTGACATTAAAACCAATGTATTGCTTCCAACACATACTCAGCTTTAATTTATCCTGAGTATTTATAGACACAAATAAACCTTTTTTTTTAAACCAAATATTCCACCTTCAAGCCCTGTTTGCCAAAGATAGAACATATTTGCAGCTAGAGCTATTGGCACTGGGGACAATTTTTATAACATGTCTAGGAACTGCCAAGGAAGATAAAAATGTACCTAGTCACCTCCTGCCCTTACATCAGAGCACAGAATGCTGTTTTAATTGACTCTTAACATTATTTTAAATTACAAATTGGGAACATCAAATCCAGATTAAATGAAGGCATTTACCTCAATGTTTTCCTCCCCAAACTTCTCCACTGCAGTCTCTTCAGAATACCCACAGGCTCCATACTCCAGAGGAGTGAATACAGTGGTTGGAACATTCACATAGTCACACTGCATGGCATTCAAAACAAACAAAAAAAACCCCACCACATAACATCAGTACAATGGGTAAAAATTCAGCAGTCTGAAATTCAGACAGGAAGAAAAGTTGGATTATTCGTAATTCTCAAAGCTACTTTTTTTTTTTTAAATAAAAAAAAATTGTTTTAAATTAAGCTACAGTTTTGGTATTGTCCCTCTCAGAGGCATTAATTAGAGCAAGAACAGAAAGAGAGTTTAAAGTCACACTGACATTAGTATGCATAGATTAAAAGGAAGAGGAAATTCAGTGCCCAGCTTTAAAATGTTCCAGATCACAGGGTGCACTGAAGATAAAAAGTAGACTGTTCGACTGCTTCTGCAGAGCATGCTATTTTTAACTGGGAATGCTACAAAGACAAAAGCACCATCCTAAAACCATCATCTTTTTTATCAACTGTGGCCTAGGAGATGCCAAAGAACCAAAGACATGAACTGCAGACATTTGGAGGCACAGCTAGAAGTAGAGCTGATACTGCATGCCCGATCACATATCATGAAAGCCAAACACTGACCCCCAACTTCACTGGAGCTTTAGAGTGTCCTAGAGGCTCACCTCTGGGCATCTTTCTTACACTTCACCACCCTCACGTAAAGAAGTTTTTTCTTATGTTTAAATGGAGTTTTCCTGTGCTGCAGTTTGAACCCATTGTCCTTTGTCCTTGCACTTTACACCACTGAAAAGAGTCTGGCTCCATCTTCTTTACTCTCTACTATAAGGTAGGAAGACACATTGATATAAGACCCTCCCAAGTCATCTCTTCTGCAGGGTATAAAAAGTCCCAGCTGTCTCATGTGTCAGATGCTCCAGTCTCTTAATCATACTCACTGCCCTTTGCTGGACTTGCCCTAGTATGTCCATGTCTTTCTTGTACCGAGGAGCCCCAAACTGGACACAAAATCCATACCTATCTCACCAGTGCCAAGTGGAGGGGAAAAGGTCACTTCCCTCCATGTGCTGGCAACGCTTTGCCAGGATGTATCTGCAGGAAGCAGTCTAGGATGCCACTGGCCATCTTTGCCGTGAGAGTACGTTGCTGGCTCACTGTCAACTTGCCCCCCAGACCCTCCAGAACCTTCTCTGTTCTCCAGGTAGTGGGTCCTCAGCCTGTACTGGTGCATGGGGTTACACCTCCCCAGGTGCAGGACTTTGCAATTCTCCTTGCTGAACTTCATGAGATTCCTGTCAGCCCATCTCTCCAGCCTGACACGACACAGGCTGGAGACTCTCTGAGTGACCACACAACCATCTGGTGCATCAGTCACCCCCCTCTAGTTTTGTATCATCTGCAAACTTGCTGAGGGTGCACCCTGTCTCATCATCCAGATCATTAACGGAGATGTTACACAGTACTGGACCGAGGATCCAGCCCTGTGGCACACCACCAGTGACTGGCCTCCAGCTGGTCTTTGTAATGCTGGCTACAGCCCTTTAAACCTGGCAGTTTAGCTGCTTTTCAGTCTACCTCAGTGCCCACTTATCTAGTCTGTGCTTCATTGGTTCATCTAAGAGAACATTATGGGAGACAGCGTCAAAAGCCTTACTAGAGTCAAAGTAAACAACATCCGCTGCCCACCAAATCAGTCATTCTGTCATAGAAGGCCAGCAGGCTGGTCAACATATTAAATTTCTACTAATTTTAATTTCTATGGATTTCAACTCTAATTAATTTCATTTGTGACTGAGGATCAACTAAGATTCTGCTTACTATTCTTTCCCCACCTATCCGTAACACTTCATTATGTTTCATACAATCACCCAGACTTGTTATAACAGCAATGTAAGTCAGCTTCCCATCTAAGTAGTTACTCATTTCTTGGATTCACTGAAAGGAGATGATGCTTTCTTTGGCAGCATAAGGATTTTCATACCTTGAGAGACAGTTATCTGGCATAAAATGTAAATTAAGACATATCCATAGTATTGCAGCAAGAAAAAAATTCTGGCTCCAGCTATGGTTTTCTTAAACTTTGCCTGGCTGATGTAATGACATTATGTACACTGATTCAGGATTCTGTTACCGCAATACCTGCCAACCTAAAATAAATGACTCAATCAAGCTCTAAATCTGACTGACAGCTGCACTTGATATGAATACAACAGGCTCTGAAGGAGAAAAATCTTTATGCTTAAGAAGGTGAGACAAGCACCCAGAGGGATGGTGCTCGGATACCAGTTCTTCAAAGGCACTCTCCTTTCCTCCTGGTTTAAAGATAAGGTGTAAATGAGTACCCATGTACTTATTTGGACTAGTACAACTTGGCTGAAACCTACAATTGCACTAGTGTGGAACATAAACACTGAATTGATGAATTCAACATCTCAGGTGAAGTACGTGCTGACTTACTGGTACATTTGATCTTCCTTTATGTCTATATTCAATTATAAGCAGAAGTACATATTACATTGAAAACATATGGATGAGAAGTGAAAAAAATTAATGAAAATAACATTGGAAATGAAGAGCATCACAAATCCCTTTTACACTCTCTTTGGAGTAGGTAGGTTTAGTAAACTACCTATGAATTAAAGCATTTAATTGAATGATTGCTGACTTTTAGGGAAGGCGACAGAGCTAAAAACGAGTTCAATAATCTCAGCTGATTTTATTATCATTATACTCTGAGAGAAAAATAAAACCTCTTAATAGGAAAAAAAGATACTACCGCTTAATCCATAAGATATTAATTTAATCCTACACAATTAGCAGAACATATCTGCAGTAATATCTTTGCAAGCGGAAAATTAAAGTGATCATCAAAGCTAATCCTTAAAAGCCTACTCAGTTTTCCATAAATGAGCAGACTTGCACTCTGCACTTAGAAGTAGAGCAATGATAGTGTTTAGTGGCAAGCGGTTCCTTACCTTAATGGTTGCCCCAGCATAAAGCCTTTGAACCAACAATCTTCCTGCCTGGATTGCCACTGGTGTGAGTTCCAGCTTGTCCTGCAGTATATCTCCAACAGCATAGATATATGGCACGTTTGTTTGCTCCTCATCGTTGACAGGAATTTTTCCTGTTCTGCAATTTGATTTAAAAAGAAAAAAAGATGTAAGTATTCCGCTGTGAAGACTGGAGGTGTAAATAACCTTGCAGGAGTTAGGCCCTTTAGCTTTCAGAGAAAGACACGTATTTGAAGTATGAGGGAAAGAAGTCATATTCACAATCTTACAATCTTGGTCAAGAATGTAACGTAGTGCAAATTTGTTCAAAACTATAGGAATTTACACACTGGATAAGGAGGTAGCCCATGAAGTTGTGATTCATCTCCTGAATCAATTCTTTGGTGAGGCACAAATCCTTTCCTCAAATACCCTTTGCTACCAGCTGAGCTGTGTACTGGGAACCTTGAGGAGTGACAAGAAGAGACATTCTCCCACTCAAGCTGTAGACAAAAGAATCTCTCCACTACTGAAATTCCAGTCCAGTGGCTGAAGCAGTTTCTATAAACTTACCCTTCAGGCTTCTACACAGAGTCAGGTCAAGCTGTTGGACACCCTACTTCAGGGACAGCCAACAAGCTTTTTAGCATGAAGCGTACTGAGCTAATGGAAGTTTTTAATTATTCACATTTCCTACTTAATAAATGAAATCGTGTAGCAATCACTGCAGGAAACACATGTGACAGGGAAACCTAATCAGACAGGCACAGAAACAGTCACACAGTCACTTGAGGGACCAGTGGCGATTCCTGTATTAAAATCCAACTTTCTCAATTTTGCTCTTGTTAACAAATGCACAGTTTATGCTAATAATTTTATAGTTCATTCTATTAAGCTAGTAACAGGTGTCCTGATGTCAGAAAGATGTATACTGTTCTACATGACAACACAGGTCTGCCAATTCTGAGAGGACCAAAATTTCCACTTATTTAGAACACTGCAACAGTTCCCTTCAGCAACCTAAGTCACTATGTTCATATATAAGCTGCCCTCTGTTCTCCCACAGGCTACCAAGTCAAGTTCATGGTCCTGTGTCTTGTCTTCAAAGGGGACATCGTCTAGGCCCCACATGCCGAGAAGATGTTTTAGTTACCAATATTGAAAAAGTTACCTATGGCTCCACTCCCCGGTGCAACGACCTCACTACATTAAACATGAAATGCTCCTCTAAAGGAGACAGATTATTTCCAAGGGTTGCTCTAAGGCAAGAAATAAACTTCTCCAAAACCTAAAGCACATCACCAACTCTAACCGCGAATTTAAGGAACACTACTTTGATCTTGTATTTTAAAATAAACACATAGTAGCATTGACATTAAAAATGTAAACAAAACCCACCACACTAAAAGCCTGTATGAACAAACAGATCTCTGCCCCAAGAGGGGGTAGAGAGAAGGAAAAAAAAGGAGATGGGAATAAGAGTACAAGGAACAACTGACAGATGCTAGAAAGCCCAGTCACTGGAAGAAGCGGAGACTGACCTCTGAACCTGGAACAGACACTTTTGACTCTTAGCACTTAGGAGCTGACATTTCAGTATCAAAAAAGCAAACGTGGCAGTACTATGGGAGAAAACACAGCTATCTGCTACACTGTCTCCTTTCCAAGTGTATGCAAACAGGAAACAAGTTTTTCCTCAAAGCATTTGAATGTCCATGGACCACTACTGTTGCAATAGTAAATGACACAAGCTCAGCAGTTCAGTGGTGTACAGACAACTGTCCTTACTTTTCATTGATCTTCACTCCAACTTTGTCCAAACCAATTTTCCTTGTGCATGCATCTCTTCCGATTGCTAGCAAGACCTACAAAACAGCAATGCATGTTACTGATTTTTTTAAAACCTCAAAAATGCATTTGCATGTGGCTATCTATTCTTTTTGTTCTATACCAAGGATTAGTAGCTAAGGCTTGGTCATGGTAAGATGAATACGTTTGTTACCCATTGTATATTTACAGAGTTCAAGAGAAGCCACACCATCGCCATGACCTAACAAAACCAGGTTTTAATGATAAGATTAAATACCGCCAATTGGCTTTTTCTTTTAGAGCATTCTAAACAAACCGGTTAGGGTCAGATGCTTTATTTTATTTCTTCCCATTTTTATGCCAAGGCATTATACCATATCCCTGCCAGAGCAGATGACCCCAAAATGCTCCATAAGGAAAGGGCGCTTTACAAAGGAAACTCAGATGCTTATGCAAATCAAAAGACCATAAAGTAATTTTTGTTTTGATCAAAAAATATAATTTACTTATATAGGCTCTCAGCCACTGCTGAAGAATATTATTTGTTGAATATTATTTGTGTGAACATTTGTTCAGAATGATGGACAGACCATACCAAATTCTTACCCATCCTACCAACGTGGCTACCTTGACAAGCCAAACAAGTTCTAGCCTATATTATCACAAGGAGAAGTGCTATGTGCTTTACAGTGTCAGACAACTGCCCCGGTAACTACACAATGCCATACGAGAAGTACAACAACTAAGAACTGTGCTGAAGGAATCCAAGATCTGCTTCAAGTCTTTTAGATGTCCAAGCATGCCAGATCTTCAGAGCTGAAGGTCTTAAAATGCGTCACACACAGCTCATAGCTTCTGTGAGGAGGGACAGCTTTTCAGTGAAAGATGTAGTAGCAGTAAGAAATCAGAAGTTCCCTTAATGAAAAAATGGCAGTGATTTGCCAGCTAAAAAGCTTTCACTACCATGGACCAGGAAGAATAATATTACAACACTGTGCACAACACTGCTGTTATTGTTAAACTTTCTCATAACATCAGCACTCGGATGCACTGAGGCATGTCCTTGTTATGGGGTGACTGATGCACTATACAGGTAAATGAGGTCACTGGCACACAGTATTTACAGTCTAAAATCCCAGGCTGGCAAATGCTTATCTTTATGCATTCTGTGTAGTTCCAAATACTTTATTGACAATTTTTTTCCTTTCAGCATCAAGGCCTAAGAAAACAAGTGGGGTGAGGGGTGATGGAAACAGTCATACATACAATGGCACACCTGCACACTGCAGTTTTACTGTTTTAAGTGTGTAATGAAGTTCCCTGACTGACTTGCCACAGGGCGTTAATTGTTTTTCTGAAGATGCTGCATCAACAACGGATCTTGAGAAGACATGTTTGTTTAGCTCTTGCAGAGACTACTGTTTTGTGCTAACTGCATAACATGCTATAGTTACTATGAAAGCTATTAAAAATCATTACTTATTGTTTATGACAAATACCCACTGGGGAAAAATCCTGCAACTGATTCCACGTGACCAAGCTCCTCTACATCCCTAAGCTAAGAAACAGGTTTCAAAAGCATGGAAGTGATTTGGCAAGGCACGCGGGACTCACACCCATGGATTCTGGCACTTTTGACACATTAATTACCTGCTGGTTGCATGCAATTAGCATATTATAATGATTAAAATAATTTTTAGAAATCTAAACTACGGATAAAAACACCCCAGAAAATCTCAACATTAAATGGAAGGCTATTTCATGTTCTTCATGTATATAGACACGACTCACAGTATTGTATTCCCCTTCAATTATTTGGTTCCCCTGTGTGGACTTGGCTATAACTTTCAATCTTCCAGGAGTTCCTTCCTCAATCTGCTCAACCTACAATATTTTGGAGGGGAAAAAAAAAAAAAAAAAGGAGGGGTTTAATTTCAAGTAAAGATATGCAAATGTATCTTTGTTCCACCACAAATCTTATCATTGAGAGTGTTTAACCATGACCTAAAATTAAGCATTTATTCTAAAGATATTTTCACCGTTCTCTAGATTCGTGATTACTACTTGCATATTTAAACATTATGTTTTATCTCCATGCATTTATTCTTGCGACCACCACAGTAAGACTTCATTTCTGTTTATAAAAGTTGATTGATAGCTAAGTTCTTGTCCAAGCCCACTACGTGAGCTGCTGGTATCAACTAGGGACAGAGGAGATGAGGAGGAAGGGAACTCTTGCAAGACCTGGAAACACCATCAGACATTTTCTCCAACCGCACCTAGAGGACCATCGTGCTTCCACCCATGGGAAGCCACAGTCATCGCCCAGTCCTTAGCAGTACAGGCCTTTGGCCCGTTTCAGTGACATTAGTCCGACCTATAAAGCTGCCATGGCCTTGCAGGAGAGGGCAGCAGCTGGCCCTAAATGGCTGAAAAAACCATCATCAGGTTAAGAAAAAAACCAAACTCTTCAGGGTTCCCAAGAATCAGCTGAAATAAATATTCTTAGTTTTCTAGTTTTAGCTACGGATCCAGCTGCACGCTCGCTCTCAAGTAATGCAGTAGCTTACTGTCTATTCCAGCAAAGCAGAAGAAAAAAAAAGCAGCAAAGGTGAATCTTTTTGCAGCTGTGCTCTTTGTTCAGAGTAATAAAAAAAGAGAAGGTTTATTTAAAACAAAACCCAAAATACACTTCCTTCCACACCCAACCCCCCCCCATATATGAGAAAACAATAAGGCAGAAAGAGCAGTATCACTGGCTTTTTTTCCAAACACACTTTTTTCCTCTGATAAATAAGTCAACTAAAGAAGTTAATGGAATTTGAAGCTACATAGGTGGGTTAATTTTTGTCCTCATTAATATTCACTGGACTGTGAGAAAAGGACTGGATATCCTCAGCTTCAGTCCTTCCCTTTCCCTCTCAGGAAACAGCAAGGTGCCTGGCTGCTTCCTATGGCTGTACATACAAAAGACGTGTAAGTGTGCAACACTGAACTTAATTCTGGGAAATTTTAGTGTTCATTCTGCAGATGAAAAAGTACTTTTCAACAACTGCCCTAGTTCCTACTTCATATTCAGTATTTAGAGACAGAAAAAGCAAAGTTTCTGACGAAGTTCTGTTTCCGCCGTCTTTTTTTTTTTTAATTTAAAAAAAACACCAAACCTTCCAGGCCATCCTACCAACTTTAAAGGATCACTGTGTTAAACTGCTCCTGTTCAAAGGCAGCATTACTTATAATAATTCATCTTCTGTCTTCAAACATCCCAATGAAGGGTTTTAATAAGCACACCATGCATAACTTCAAAAACAACGTTTGAAACAGATGAGAAGACCTGCTAAAAACGTATCTGGCAATTTAAGTTTAAGGATATTCCCAACTAGAAATGGGGCCAAATATTTGATTCCCATTGAAATCAAAGACATGTAGTGAGCGGACAGGGTAAAATACACAACAGTGTATTTTGTGACTAAGGTGATGGACTGCTCTTCACAGGGTGCATCTAGAGGAGCCCGCTTGCCATTTAATTGAAACTATCTGCTTGTAAAACCAGCTTTCTGCCTTCTCATCCCCCATTAGAGCCTCCAAAAACTACATCTGAAACAAAAGCTAGATAATCATCCCTGCTTTTCACACAACATGGGATTTCTGCAATGCAAATGTGCATAAAAACAAAGTTCCTTGAAACATCCACTTTGACTTCTCACAGCAAATCTCTTACGCTCTGTGAGAGAGGGTCAGATCCACAGCACGGCAACTGGCAAGAACATTTTTTAAGCTGCTCTTGTTACTGCTAAGGGTGAAAATGAACAGTCTTCACTTGATTTAATGCTTTAATCCCCAAAGCGTTAAACTTGGTAATACGCTGGCTTAACGCCAAATTCAAAACTGCTTAATACATTATTTCCCATTTCATAACAATTAAGCACTAATTATTGTGAAAAAAACTTTAAGAAAAATACTGCTAGCACCCTCTGAAGTCTTTGATAAGGCAATTTTATATTAGAAAAGCTCCAGAACTTATCTGATCTGCTCTTCAACCTGAATTTGCCCATACACGTACATAACTAGCTGCCCAAGTACTCCTACTGAATTCAACGAAAACTGAGCAAGCATTTAAGGACTCTGCCAAGTGACAGATATAGATGGATACTTCTAAAGCCCATTTACTTTTCTGGACAGTCCACTGGTCCTGGGCACATAAGCAGTATTTGCTGGGTGAGAATTTGAGAACTGGCAATGAAAGATATGACTATTCATGATGCACTGGCCCTGATCTTACAGGAAATTATATATTTGCCTGCAAGAAGTTTCACAGATTTCAGGACAACTGCTGAAATTAAGTATATTCAACATTTGCAGGACCAGGATCAGCAGGAGTAACAACATTTTTAATCCAACAGATACTAACCTATCTAATTCTGATAAAAACAATGAATTCTGGAATCTCAAAAAACTTTGATAATACGACTAAATTGTACCTTTCAATTACATAAGGTTCATGGAGTTACTCAGTTTAAAACAAAAATTAACCCATACTCTATCATAGCAAATCCTGTATTGCAAATTCAGCTTTTGTATTCACTAAAATAATTTACATCTTAAAACAGGATGATAGGTATATTGCAATCAATTGTAGTCATATACCACTTTGAGCCTACCTTGATTGGCACAAACTCCCTAATAAATTTGATTCCGTGTTCTTCCATATATTCGCCAATTTTGTTTGCAATATCCTGGTCAAATCCTCTTAAAAGGATGGATCTCACCATTACAGTGACATCTAATCCAAGACCTGCAAGAAATCCTGCACATTCCAAGGCAACATAGGAAGCTCCAACCACCAGGGTTTTCCCCGGACAGTAAGGCAGAGAGAAAAGATCATCACTGGTAAAAAAAGAGGGGGAGAAAGAAAAGAAAGTTAGAAACAAGCAGAAGAATGTATTCTGTTTGATATTTATCTAATTTCTTTTGTAAGAATAGGACTTTATTCCTCTTCCTCCTGA